TGCTCCCACAGTCCAGCTCGGTGGAGACCTTGTTGGTCATCTTGTCAGCCTTTCTGTGTTCAGCCATAGGGACCTTTCCCATCGGTTTCTCAGCTCCTGAAATGTCTGGTTTTGTTCTCCCAGAAGAGTCCAGGCCCTGAGTCCATGAAGGGAGAAGGTAGGTTTGGGTTTGCAGGGGGGTGGGGACAGAGCTGGCGGTGAGTCCTGGCTCTGTCCTTTACTAGCTGTGTGACTTTGGGCAAATCACCGGCCGTCTCCAAGGCTCAGTATTCTCATCTGAAAAGTGGGGATAATAGCACACATGTCATACGGCTGTGGGGGATACCTTCATCACCAATGCCCCATCCTCCTCCTCACCATTGAAGGGCGTGATACACGAGGGGATGGGCTCACACTGAGTCAACTCTACGTGCTCTGGAGGGACCAGGCTCCAGCATTTCTAAGACAACCTACTATAAGCCGTGATTCTCAGATGTCAGTGAACATCAGAATGGCTTAAAATGAGGTTCCAGGGCCCTGCCTGCAGCACCGTAAGAATCTACATTTTCAATAAGGTGGGTCTGAGGTTGGCTACTTTTAGGGAGACCAAACTGCTCCTGTTTGTCTGGCACCTGGCAGGTTTTAGCACAGCAAATTCTGTATCCAGAGACAGCCTTAGTCCCAGCAAACCGATGCTGTCGGCCACCCTACCACGTTTTACCCCCCACTCACCATCTTAGGCTGGCTGTGCCATGGGAGCAGTTGAGTTCTCGGGCTGGCTGGGAGGGTGTGGGGCTGGGAGAGCCCTGGACAGGCCTGTGTATGGAAGCCTCAGCAGGGGAGGGCCCAAGGCCCTGAGCCCAGGGCTAGACCAGAAGCACTGCCTAGAAAACCCAGAAGCCAGCATGTGGCGACTCAGCCATGCTGGCAGCTCAAGGTGGCCTGGAGAGGAAGGACTTTGTCCAGGTGAGGCTCCAGGTACTTCCCCTGTTCTCTAGGAAATGGGAAGCTAGATCCTCCTGTACCTGATGCAGGATCTCCTCCCAGCAGCTGCCCCTTTCATTTTCCTAGCACACAGTTTTCATGACAGGCATAAGCACTGGACTGGGAGTCAGCAGCCCTACCTTCTAGTCGCTTCTCTTTTGGGCCTCAGTTTCCCCAGCAGTGAAATGAGGGCATGACTTTTGCTTATCTTGAGTGCTTTACCCACACTGGTTCCTTTCATCTTCTCCTCATCCCCACCAGATAGATGTAGACGCTGCGGCTGAGGGAGGCAGTCACTCGCTCAAAGTCACACACCTAATGAGTGGTGGGACTGGGGTTTGAACCCAGTTGCCTGGCCCCGGGACCACGGGCTCAAGTACCTCAACACAGCTCCATCATGTTGCCCCCCTGATCAAGAGCCGTCGCTGGCTCCCCATTACAGAGGGATAAAATGAAAACAAGCTCATTATAACCTGAGTCTAAACTAGACCTCTTAAGGCTCTATGGTGAAAATACCTTCCCCTCACTTGTGTCTCCTCTTGGTGCCTTCCCTGGGGAACCTGCCCCAGCTGCCCAGCCCACTGTCTCATCCTGCCTCCAGACCCGTTTCCTGCACCCTCATTTACTTTAATAACCCCTCCTTGTCCTGGGCCAATGGTGTTCCAAGCCTTTCCCATCTATTATCACACTTGAGTTTCATGATTGCCCATGAGGTTGGCCAAGTGTCATTATCCCACTTTATAGGTGAGGTTAATGGGCCCAGAGAGACTAAGTGATTTAGTCAAGCTCAGCTGGCTGATGTGTGACCCAGCCTGGTCTAGAACCTAATTCTTGAGTCTGGTCCCAGCATCACCCGAGCCCTCGACTTCTGCGGACCCTCCCTTCCCCAACCTCAGATGTAGCTTGTTCACCTTCTGTGCGAAGCCCTTGTTCAGACTGTGGCCCTGGGGACCCTCCTGGACGGGAGGATCTTCATTGGGAATCCCCCAGCATCTCACACAGAGCCTGGCACATGGAGGGGCAAGGGCGCTGGGCTGAAATACCCCACACCCCAGGGACTGGAGCCTGGGGACTCAGTGGAGTTTTCATACTAGAAGGACCATCAAGGGCGCTCAGCCCTCGCCCATGGACGCTCGGGGCCCAGGGAACAGCTTTGGGGTTGAGGGAGTTCCATAAAAAGTTTACAGGCTTCAGCCAGGCGTGGTGGCTCATGCCTGTAATCCCAGCTCGGAGGCTGAGGCAGGTGGATCACTTGAGGTCAGGAGTTCAAGACCAGTCTGGCCAATATGGTGAAACCCTGTCTCTACTGAAAATACAAAAATTAGCTGGGCACGGAGGTGGGCTCTGTTGTCCCAGCTGCTTGGGAGCCTAAGGCATGAGAATTGCTTGAACCTGGGAGGTGGAGGTTGCAGTGAGCCGAGATTGCACCACTGCACTCCAGCCTGGCCACTGCACTCTAGCCTGGGCGACAGAGCGAGACTCTGTCTCAAAAAAAAAAAAAAAAAAGGCTTACTTGGGAGGTGGAAGTCAGGTGCCTGAGGAGTGGGGCTGAGGGTGTTCCCGAGGGTATGAGAGGCTGCTCTTCCTACCTGGGTTTGTCTTCCTGTGTCTGTCTTTCTGACTCCCTGTCTCTGACTCTCCATCTCGCTGTGTCTCTCCAAGTCTCTCTGTCCCTATCTCTCTGTCTGTGTGTCTTCATGCCTCTCTACCTGGGTCTGCCATTTCCCCTGTGGAGCGTTGCCCAGGGCAGAACAGGCCAGAGGGCTCCACTAGCCCTGGAAATTACAGCCTTTGGGAGTAGGGTTGCCAGATAAAATAAAAGATGCCTAGTTAAAATTGAATTTCAGATAAATAATTAGTAATTTTTTAGTATAAGTATATCCCAAATCTTTCATGGGAGTTCCAAACAATGATTGACTGTTTATTTGAAATCCAGGTCCAACTGAGCATTCTGTATTTTTATTTGCTAAGTCTGGCAGCCCCGTTAGGAGGAGAAACAGGTGTGTCTGTCCCTCCCACCTGGTGAGGACACCTGACAGGGGCCCCCACCCCAGAGTGTAACCCGCCTGATGGAGAGAAGCTTGAGCTTGGTTTATTTCCCTTTTTATAAAAGAGCTGCTGTGAGATGTATCAGAATCATGTTGGTGGAAGAGTGAAGAGGGTGTTTTTGGGGAGGTCTGCCTTACTCCGAGGGAAAATGGGAAAGGAGGGGAGTGGCCAGCTGTGAAAACTCGGGGAGTCCTGTACGTATCCCGAGCCTCGTTTCCCCATGTGTAAACAGGAGTAATTATCTCATCCTGGGACTGCAGTGAGGATCAGATGAGCTAATGTACAAAAAGGCTTGGCCAGGTCTGCTGTGGTAAGGGCGCAGAGGCTGGGGGCTTTTTGTCTAACGGTATTGTTGTTATTACTACTCCTGGGGAGGTGGTGGGCAAGACTGTGGACTGGGGAGCCACATGGCTGGGTTTGGATCCCAGCCCCACCACAGACCTTGGGCAAGTTACTTAACCTCGGCTTTCCCATCTGTATAATGGGAGACAGTTAATAGATGGTGCCTCCCTTCTAGGGTTATTGAGAGGATTGCATGATAGGCTGGCACAGAGCATGAGCTCAACAAGTGTCAGTCACTGTTATCCCCCAGGGGGGTGCGTGCTGCTTCCTCCAGGAAGCCCTCCAACTCACAGTGGCCTCTCCCTACATGGGTTCCCACTAAGCTGTAATCCTGTGGCCCTGAGCCCCATCTGGCTCCCCTGGACAATGTTGGTCCTCAGCTCCCCAGCGGGATCAACAGCTCTGGGGCAGTGGGGAGAGCAGTGGGTGAATCGGCCCAGCCAGGTAGTACCTGAGTGCACAGTGGGCACCCCATAGTCAAAGGATGCACAGGCTGGTTTCCAACGAGGAACCCCAGACTAGCAGGAACGAGGGAAATGCAATCTCAGGGCCAGGTAACATCACAGGTATTTTAAACCTGCAATTAGTGCTTCGTTGTCTGACCAAATCCGGCCAAGTTTCCCGGGTGACACTGCAGAGCTGTGGAACAGCAGGGGCTTGGAGTCAGACCTGGTGCACACCTGGCTCTGCCATTTGATGCAAACTCAGGCTTGTCACTAGGCCTTCTTGAGCCTCAGTTGCTAATATGTCAAATGGGGATGATGTTGCTCACCTTACAGCTTGTAAGAGTGGAGGGAGCTGTGTGTGCCAGGTGCCTGCCATGCAGCGGGCACTCAACCAGATTGAATTCCCTTCCCAGGGAAGAATCCAAGGATATCTTCCCACCCACTAAGGAGACATGTGATGGGATCTGGGGTGAGAATTGCTCTTTTTAAAGCTCTCAGAACTGTAAGGGGCTCCACCCACCACTGTCTGGTGTTCACTGAGCTCTTCGTGCCCAGCCCTGCCCTGGGGATTTATCCAGCACACGGCTGGGTTCTGACTTCTGAGGAGCTCGCCATTCTGGTGGGTGGTAAAGAAATTCACAAGGGAAATGTTAATGACATTAACACAGGGGCTTAGAACGTCAGACTGTGTGTATGTTTTGTTTTGAAACCGGGTCTTGCTCTCTTGCCCAGGCTGGAGTGCAGTGGTGCAATCTTGGCTCACTGCAACCTCTGCTTCCTGGATTCAAGTGATTCCCCTACCTCAGCCTCCCCAGTAGCTGGGATTACAGGCGCATGCCACTACGCCCGGATAATTTTTTGTACTTTTAGTAGAGACGGGGTTTCACCATGTTGGCCAGGCTGGTCTCGACCTCAAGTGATCCGCCCACCTCGGCTTCCCAAAGTGCCTGACCTCAAGTGATCTCTCCGCCTCAGCTTCCCAAAGTGCTAGGATTAAAGGAGTGAGTCACCACACCTGGCTGACTGTGTATATGTTTGTGTGGGGTCCAGGCTTGACTCCTGAGAACTTGCTGTGAGGATCTGAGGGGCCTGGGTGGCCAAGGAAGGCTTCCTAGAGGAAGCAGGGCTTGAGCCAAAGCTCAAACACCTGAGCAAAACACACCTCCTTCAGCACCGCCCATGGCTGTCTGTCCTGCCCAGGTCAGTGCCTGAGGGCACAGAGATGTTTGAGGTCTATGGGACGCCTGGAGTGGACATCTACATCTCTCCCAACATGGAGAGGGGCCGGGAGCGTGCAGACACCAGACGGTGGCGCTTTGACGCGACTTTGGAGATCATCGTGGTCATGAACTCCCCCAGCAATGACCTCAACGACAGCCATGTGAGCTGGTCCCTGGTGGAGTGGGGAGAGGTTGCGGGGGAGGCAGCTGTCTAGCTCTAGGAGGGCCCAACATTCTCTTTTTCTAGAGCGCAGGGCAGCACAGTGGGTAAGTGCCTGGCCTTGGAGCCATGCTGCTGGTTTTGAATCCCAGCTCTGCAAGTTACAGACACATACCTTGTGTCCTTGGAAAGCCGTATCACCCCTCGGGGCCTCTGTCTGCCATCTGTAAAATGGAATAATCAGAACCCCTGCGTCCTATCATTGCTGCGGAGTGCCACAGGAGCCAGTGTTGCTCCTTCTCTTGCTTCCCAAGACCCCCTGGAGAAGGAGTTGTCCCAGTTCTGCTGAGTTGGGTCTCAGTTTCCCCATATATAGGCTGAGGGTTGATCAGGGGATCTCTGCTACTTTGAATGAAAGAGAGAAAGCAGGGACAGGGGAGGGACACCGGTGCCTGGGGAGACCCCCTTCCTAGGTGACATTTCCCCAAGGTGCTTTGCTGTCCTTAAGCCACTCTCTTCCTGATCCTTTTTGCAGGGTAGGGACATTTAACACATGGGAGAAATGGGTGGCCTTTAAGCTTCGCACAGGTGATGTTCACTTCAAGGGCTGATGGGGACCAGGACTTGGAGGGTGGGAGTAGTGGGATCCACTCCATGTCAGAAGTGATGTTTCAGAAACTAGCCCTTTAAGAAGCACTGACCACGTGCCAGGCACTGGGCAGCCATGACCTTATCCGGTCCTCACAGCAGCCCAGAGAGGCAGGGGACTGATGCCCATTTCACAGATGGGATGACTGAGGTTCAGAGTAACTGTCCCGGGACCACATACTAATGGTCAGGAGAGCTAGAATTCAGTGCAGACCTGCCTGACCCCTGGGGGCAGCCTCCCTCCATCACCCCCACCTCTGTTCCCAGCTATGCATCTGAATTGAGCCTCTCCACTGAACTCCGTGAGGCACATAGTGCAGGACCCAGTGAACCCATTTAGCAGGCAAGAAAACTAAGATGGAGAAGGGGGCGTGGCTTTCCTGAAGTCACATGATCTAGTGAGTGGCAGAGTTGGTGAGAGTCAGGACAGAGTCCCAGGGGCAGTGCAAGAGGACTGGCCAGCCTGTGAGGGGCCCCATCTTGGTGCCGGTTGAACTGGGGATGGTGTGGGTACCCCCCTCCTTGAATTCCTTGGCCATGATGGCTGGTGGGATGGAGGAAGTTCAGAGTCTCTCCCACTCTTCCCCCTGCCCGCCATATACCCCTGCTCTCAATCCGGCCTTTGGCCAGGATCCCAGTAACTGTATGTTTGAGGCAAGCATCACTGCTGGTGATTGACACGTGGGGGTCAGTAATTGCAGGATTTAGGGGCTCCCAGGACTAAGGAGGTGAGTGGCCCCTGCAAGATCCTCCCCCTCTGGCTGAAATTCAAACATCAGAAGCAGAGAGTTGAGAGACCCACATCAGAAGGGAGCACCCCAACAGGAGGGTCTTGCTTTAAAGGGAACTTGGATGCCCTGGATTCGTCTGCCTCCAACCAAATATCATCCTCGCCATCTTCATCCTCACCCTGTAACAGTTCTTGGGTGCTCACTGTGGGCCGGGCACCAAGCTGCACATGCCCCATGCATGACTCCTTTCATCTTCATAGCCTCTAATTAGTCCTAAGGGTGGGAACTATTATTATCCCCACTTTACAGTTGAGGAAATTGAGGCCCAGAGAAGATCAGTAACTTTTCCTGGGATATTCAAAAGTGGAGGATCCAGCATCTGAGTCCAGGCCATCTGACCCCAGAGCCCTGCATTTAACCGCCTCCCACCCCACCAGATGCCATCTGCCCACTGATAACAGTAGCTGGTATTTCTTGGGCACTTCCTATGGACTCAGTCTTTTACATTTATCATTTCCAAGTTTCACTGCAAGCCTCTGAGGTAGAGACCTATAGAGGTAGAGACCTTTTCCCATTTTGCAGATGAGAAAACTGAGGTGGCTCAGAGAGGTGAGAGGCCTTGGCCAAGGTCATAGAGTGCCCAGAGGTTCCAGGCTCAAGCCCAGGCCTGAGTCCCACAGACAAGAATGTTGGCTTGGAGAGTGTCCCTAAACCCTGCCTAGTCCAAACCCTTTATTTTACAAATGGCAAAACTGAGACCCAAAGGGGAGTAAGAGCTTGTCAAAAATCATGGAGTAGGTTATTGGAGGGACTGGGACCCAAGTCTCTAGAGAAGCTCTTACAAATAGCTCCCGTTTTACAGATGTGCCAACCAAGACACAGAAAAATAAATGGCACAGAGGAGGTTAAAGAAAGAGCAAGGTTCCTGGAGCCCCTTCCGCTCCTTACCAGATCCCCGAGAACTATCTTTTGGGGTGGGAGCTCTTGGCTTCTGCTGGTATCACTCTGTGCCCAACTCTCCACAGGTTCAGATTTCCTACCACTCCAGCCACAAGCCTCTACCCCTGGCCTACGCGGTGCTCTACCTCACCTGTGTTGGTAAGTTGGGGGCCATGTTGATGGTGTGGCCAAGGGCACATTTTAAAAATTCAAACAGTACAAAAGAGTATACACTGAAAATTAAACCTCCTTCCCTCCAACTCAAGACTTCTAGTTCCCCAAACCCAGCATTTTCCTGGAGATATGCTGTGCTTATATATGAAGGCACATACATACCCGTATATCCCTACTATTTTGTAAGCAAATTGAAGCATACTATAGACATGAAACTGGACCTTGCTTTTGTCAGCTTAAAGTTTTTCTGCTAAGCCTCCACAAATGGATATATAAACTCCATGCAAGATGACTCAGATGTTGGAGCTATCAGACAGGGCATGCAAAGTAATTGTGATTAATATGTTAAGAGTTCTAGTAGAAAAGGTGGACGACATGCATGAACAGATGGGGAATTTCAACAGAGAAGAAAATTGTTAAGAAAGAGTCAAACGGAAATGCTAGAAATAAAAACCATAATAATGGAGATTTTAAAAATGCTTTTGAAGGTTTCACCAGTAGACCTGACACGGCTTAGGAAAGAATCAGTGAACTTGAAGATAAGTGAATAAAAGTTACCCAAACTGAAACCCAAAGAGAAAAAAGAATAAAACAAACAAATGAAAAAACATAAGAAATCTAAGAGCTCTGTGACAGTATCAGACTGTCTAAATTCAATGCAATTCCCATAGAAATTCCAACATGGCTTTTTTTTTTATGGAGTTTCGCTCTTGTTGCCCAGGCTGGAGTGCAGTGGCACAATATCAGCTCACTGCAACCTCTGCCTCTCAGGTTCAAATGATTCTCCTACCTCAGCCTCCTGAGTAGCTGCGATTACAGGCTCATGCCTTCACGCCCAGCTACTTTTGTATTTTTAGTAGAGACAGAGTTTCGCTGTGTTGGCCAGGCTGGTCTTGAACTCCTGACCTCAGGTGATCTGCCTGCCTCGGCCTCCCAAAGTGCCGGGATTACAGGTGTGAGCTACTGTGCCCAGCCCCAACATGGCTTTTTACTATAACTTTACAGAGCTGATCCTAAAACTTGTATGGAAGAGCAAAGGTCAAGAATAGCTAAGATGATTTTGATGAAGAACAAGGTGGAGGGATTCACAATTCCAAATATCAAGACTTTTTTTTCAAGCTATAGTACTTGAGGCATTGTGAAATTGGTATAGAGCAATGGAGCAAATAAGAGAACCAGAGACAGACCCATGCTTGTGTGGCAATAAATAAACTTGGAGCCCTACCTCACACCATACTCAAAACTAAATTTCAAGTCAGTTAAAAATCTTAAGGTGAAAATCAAAATTGTAAAGCTTTTAGAAAAGAATATCTTTGTACCCTCAAGATAGTAAAGATTTTCTTTAACAAGGCAAAATGAAAGTGCAAAGATCATAAGGGGAAAGATTGCTAAATTAGACTGTATTAAAATTAAAAATTTATGTGCAACAGACGACAAGTAAAAAGCCAAACTATGAACTAGGAGAAGAAATCTGCAATGCATACGGCTGACTTGGTGCATATAGAATATGAAGAACTCCAATCAATAAGAAAAGGACAAAAATAATAGAAATGGGCAAAAACATGAATAAGCAATTCACAGAAGAGAAAGCCCCAGTGATCAAAACCCAAATTAAAAGATGCCTAACTGAGCATTGCCAAGGTGGTGAAGCTGGGAAACTCCTTACAAAGGAGTGGGTGGGAGTTTGCTTTGGCTCACACACTTGCGAAGCAATTAGCAAAGAAGTTGAAAATGCTTTATCTGTAGGAGGCATTTTTTAGAAGCAGAACTTCTAGGTTATAGAGAATCTATATTTTTTAACTTGATAGATATTGCCAAATTGCTCTCCAAAAACATTGTATCAGTATACATGTCTGCCAACTGCATATATGCTTTGCCAACACTGCATTATCAACATTTTCCCTTTTTGCCAATCAGTTGGCATCTCACTGTTGTTTTACTTTGCCTTTCTTTAGTTAGGAGTGAGGTTGGGCATTTCCCATCTGCAGCCCAAATGCATACACACATGATCATTGGAAAACAACATAGACAGAAAAGTACATAAAGCTTTATTTTACATACATATGTGTACAAAACAACACACACACACACACACACACACACAAATAATTGCAAAGGAAACTGAAGAATAGCCCAGGAAATAAATCCAAGAGTAGCCCAAGAAATAAAATACTACCAGCACCCCAAAGTCCCCCTCAATGTCCCTCTCTGATCATAACTCCCTTCTTCCCCTACAGGTAACCACTATCTTGTGATAAGTATTTTCTTGCTTTTCCTTATGGTTTTATCTCCTGAATATGCATACCCAAATAACATGGTCTCATTTTACCATCTGATTTTCTATGGATGCAGTCATATCACGTATATTCTTTTGTGTTGGGCATCTTTTGCCCCATGTTGTGTTTGTGAGATTTATCCACTTGTTGCATGGTGGTTGAGTATCTTTTCACAAGTTTAAAAATCATTTCAGGCCACACGTGGTGGCTCGTACTTGTAATCCCAGCACTTTGGGAGGCTGGGGTGGGTGGATCACTCGAGCCCAGGAGTTCAAGACCAGCCTAGGCAACATGGTGAAATCCTGTCTGTATGAAAGATACAAAAATTAGTTGGGCATGGTGGCATGCACTAGTAGTCCCAGCACTCAGGAGGCTGAAGTGGGAGGATCACTTGAGCCCAGGAGGCAGAGGTTGCAGTGAGCCATGATCATGCCACTGCACTCCAGCCTGGGCAACAGAGACCCTGTCTTGTCTCGGGGAAAAAAAAAAAAGTCCTATCCAATTTATTCTTTTTTCTCTCCCTCCGTGCTCCTCACTGCTTCTTCTTTAAGAACTAAAAAGACTACTTTTTTTTTCAGAGCAGGAAGATTGATCTGACCACTTGAATGCTCCATTTGCATTGTGAAATCTCCCCCAGTGTCTAGGGATAAATGTTAAGAAGGTGGGATGGGGGTGGGATTTGGGGACTGTGAGTGGCTCAGAGAGGACACACAGTCAGTAGGTGGCAGAACCTGGGTTCGTGTTCACATCTGTTTGACACCGAAGTCCAGGTTTGCTACCCCATTCCAAGGAGATGAGGCAGCTTTATATAGACAAGAATGTTCCTGGAGACCTGGGCTCAGTTCAGGGTGTGCCTGGGACTGCAAGGGCTGCAAGAATGCAGATAGGAAGTGGTCAGGGAAGGCTTCCTAGAGGGGGCAGCATTTGTCCTGGGCCTTTGCTGTGACCCTGCTTCTTGCCTCAGGCGTCTTTCCCCAGCCCAGAGGGTGCAGATGCCCTCACCTCTTGGATGGTGTCTCCTTGGAAATGACTTGCATTTGCCCAGCCCCAGACAAGCCCTGAAATCAAGGCCTGCCCTGAGCTCCTGGGAACCTTGTAGTGACTTACCCTCCACCTCTTCTTACAGACATCTCTCTGGATTGCGACCTGAACTGTGAGGGAAGGCAGGACAGGACCTTTGTAGACAAGGTAAGCATCTCTGCCTGGGCCCAGGAAGCGGGAGTGCAGTTGGAGCTTGCTCTAGGTTGGGTTAAGAAGGGCGAGGCCATTACAGGTATCTCCCTGCCTCCCAGCTGATGCTGAGGCCAAGGGAGCTAAAAACAGAAACCAGGTATGGCTGGCTGGGGATCTTCTTTCACCAGCAGAAAAATCATCACCAGGAATTATCAGGCATGGAGGTACCCAGCCCTGAGCTAGGCCTTGGTTTGTGGGATCAAGACCTTCTGGACTCATAATCTAGGTCAGGAGTGGGCAAACTCCTTCCATGAAAAGTCACATAGCAAGTATTTTAGTCTTTGTGGGCCATATGGTCTCAATTCTGCCATGATAGTGCGAAAGCAGCCACAGTTAATACACAAACAGATGGATGTGACTGTGTGCCAATAAAACTTTATTTATACAAACAGGCAGTGGGCCTGATTTGGCTCACAGTTCATAATGTGCTGATCCTGACCTAGGCGAGGAGAGAAACCAAATATGAAACTGTTGAAGAACTTGGGACTGAATTGTGTTGGAACTTGGTGCCCTGAGAGTTAAAGGAGAAAGTCGAGGTGGGCTGGGCAGGAGAGGAAGGCTTCCTGGAGGGATGTACCCTTGAGCTGAGCTCTAAAGGGATGCAGGAGGGATGGCATTCCAGGTGCAGGGAATGGCAGGAGCAAAACTAAGGAGGGTTTAATGGAGGAATGAGCACAGAGTAAGGCATGTGGTCCTATAATCAGGAGATTGCCTATTGAGAAAGAGGATGTTGGCTGAAGGCCCATCACAGACAGCCACGAAAGACAGCTCTGCGCTTTGGACTGGATGGTGTGGGCAATAGAGAGCCATTGCCATTGCCATGTCTTGAGAAGGTGTTTCGAGAACGTGGACCTAACCTCACAGGGTGGGGTGGTTACAGGCCAGGCTGGGGTTCCTGGGCGGGGAGGCACAGGTCTCATCTGAGCCCTCATCACTGGCTATGTTTTGCCATTGGCAGCGGCAGTGGGTCTGGGGGCCCAGTGGGTATGGTGGCATCTTGCTGGTGAACTGTGACCGTGATGATCCAAGCTGTGGTGTCCAGGACAACTGTGACAAGCACGTGCGCTGCCTGCAAGGTGAGGCCAGGGCAGCCTGAGTCCCCAGGTGTCCAGGGTCACTGCTCAGTTACCCCTTGGGAGTTCCAACCCACCCGCGGGACTCTGAGGCCAGAGTCCAGGGGAGAGTGCCAGCCTCCAGACACTCCTCAATGCTCCTCAAAACCCATCTCAGGCTGGCAGCTGCCCCTCCCTAGTGTCTCTAGTGCCAGCAGGCACTCACATGCCAGGGGAGAAGCTCTGGAAATGAGCCACTTAGCCATTCTCTTCCTCCAGGGGAGCAGAGGATGCTAGCATTGTTTGAGCATCTACTGTGTGCCAGGCCCTTTCCCCAAATTCTCGTTGAATCATCCAAGTGGGACGGTATCATCACTCCACTTTAGAGATGAGGATGCTGAGACTCAGAAGCCAGGAGACTCCCTGAAGACGGTGTCTGATCCAGGGCCTCCCCTCTCAACCCCAAATCTGAGCCTCCTCCTTCTGCACTTCTGGCCTGAATTTCTGTGACACCCCACCTCTTGCTAAGTCCATCTGTCCTGAATTCCAGCCCCATGGAGAATGAGCTGCAATATTCCAGGGTGTGCTAGGTACTGTCCACGGAAGAAGCCCATGGCTGCCTTCTGAAGTGGGCACCATTGGAGATGGGGATGCTCGGGCTCCGGAAGGGAGGGGCTTGTACCGTGTCACAGGAAGAGATGCTGGGACGGAGACCAGAACCCTCACCTGTGAAATGCCCCCATGGCCTTACCCTCCTCGCTTCTCTGGAGCACCTGTTGCGTGTCAGACACCGGCTGGCTATGCCACACTTCATGTTTCTCTGGGCAATTGAGGAAACATGAGTCCAGGAGAGCATAGATGTCTTCGTGGTTTGTTCTTGATGGCTTCCAGGGTTTTCACAAAGCTGGGGCTGGGAGACCCAGGTCTTGATACCCACTGACCAGGGGAGGGAGCCAAGCAGCAGAGGAAGGGGCCAGTGGCCAGGACTCCCCTGAGTCACTACCACTCTGTCTGGCTTCACAGACGTGGAAGATATGTCTGTCATGGTCCTGCGGACGCAGGGCCCTGCAGCCCTCTTTGACGACCACAAACTTGTCCTCCACACCTCCAGCTATGATGCCAAACGGGCACAGGTCTTCCATGTCTGCGGTGAGTTTGTGCCACTCCCCCTTGCCGTCTGTGCCCTGTTGCCAGGTTGCCTGCCAGGGAACCTCGTCTTCCTGCCTTGGGCCATGGGCAGGTCCTGCTCACACTCTGGGAGATGCCCTGGTGGGTGGCGGGTCACAGTAAGAACAGTCAGAAGTGGGGGCTTTGGAACTGACGAACTGGTGCCCCCAGCACAACACCTGGCCTGATGTCATTTTATCGGATGAATGAACTTTTCAAATACATTTTAAGCATGTGTAGAAATTCTTATCAAAAATTTCAACCATACACAAAAAGCAGGCCGATGAATCCCCACATGCCTGTCACTCAGATTAAACAGTTATCACTGTTTTGTCTGTCTCGCTGAAGTATTGTAAAACCAACCCCAAACACTATAAATTTCACCCCTAATTAATTCAGTTTGTGTTCCCCCCCAAATATAGATAGCTGTTGTTTTACATAGTCACAGTGCCCAAATCACAAGAAATAAAGTAAGAATCTAAATGCCTTTGAGAAAGTAAAACTGTATACAAGTAATAAGATGCTTTTTTTTTTTTTTTTGACGGAGTCTCGCTCTGTCGCTCTGGTTGGAGTGCAGTGGTGCGATCTTGGCTCACTGCAACCTCCACCTCCCAGGTTCTGGCGATTTTCCTGCCTCAGCCTCCCAAGTAGCTGTGACTACAGGCATGTGCCACCACCCCCAGCTAAATTTTTGTATTTTTAGTAGAGACGGGATTTCATTGTCTTAGCCAGGATGGTCTCTATCTCCTGACCTCGTGATCCGCCCACTTTATTCTCCCAAAGTGCTGGGATTACAGGCGTGACAACCATGCCCAGCCGCTTATTTTTTAAATAATGACAATGACATTTTTAAAATAATGACAATTTTTAAAATAAAGACAATATGGAAGTATAGAAAATGAAACCTGAGAGTTCTCTACCCCATCTCTAAATCTGACTTTTTTATTTTATTTATTTATTTATTTATTTATTTTTGAGTCAAGGTCTTGCTCTGTTGCCCAGGCTGGAGTGCAGCAGCGTGATCTCAGCTCGCTGCAGCCTTCACCTTTCAGGCTCAAGCAGTCCTTCCACCTTAGCCTCCCAAGTAGCTGGGACTACAGGCATGTACCACCACACCCTGCTAATTTTTCTTTTTTTTTTTTTTGGTAAAGACAGGGTTTCACCTTGCTGCCCAGGCTGGTCCTGAACTCCTGGGCTCAAGCAATCCACCCACTTTGGCCTCCCCAAGTGCTAGGATTACAGACGTGAGACGCCACACCTGGCCTAAATCTGACTCTCGCTGTTAACGAGTTGGGTTGTACACTTCCCAACTTTATTATACATGCTCTCCGGCATGTGTTCATATGCTGCTTTCCAACCGGCTTCTTTCATTGAGTGATAATCCCACACGTCTTTCCTGGTATTTATTGAGCTCCACTTCATTCTTTTCCACTGCTGTATAATATTCCTAAGCATAGAGGTGCTGTGACTTACACAGTTCTCCGAACATCATAGTGGTTTGCAGTGTTTTGATTTTATAACAGTGCAGGTTGCTTGAGGTCAGGGACTTTGTTCAAGTCCAGAACCGTGCCCCATGGGTGCACTGTAGTTGCACAGTAAATATTTGATGAATTAATGAATATCGAGCACTCTAGTACAGAAATATTATGTGAATTTATACCTTTTATTGTTTGTTTGTTGTTTTGTTTTTTGTTTTTTTTGAGACGGAGTCTCGCTCTGTGCCCAGGCTGGAGTAAAGTGGTGTAATCTCGGCTCACTGCAACCTCCGCCTCCTAGGTTCAAGCGGTCCTCCTGCCTAAGCCTCCTGAGTAGCTGGGATTATAGGTGTGCACCACCACCGCCCGGCTAATTTTTGTATTTTTAGTAAAGACAGGGTTTCACCATGTTAGCCAGGCTGGTCTTGAACTCCTAACTTCAGGTGATCCACCACCCTCGGCCTCCCAAAGTGCTGTAATTACAGGCATCCGCCACCGTGCCCAGCCTGGAGATGTATTTTTGTAGGAAAGATACCTAGTAGTGGAATTGCTGGGCTAGGGGTAAACATTACTTTGTTGGATGCTGCCAAATTGCCCTCCAAAAAGACATGAGCGCCAGTCTTAGAAAGGAAGATCCTTTCCCCCAGCTGCGCCCCCACTGTGTATTATCTGTCTTCTCCTTTGCCAGTGGAGGTGAAAGGATGGAGTTGTTGGAGGACTTGGAATTTTTGGTGAGGCTGCAGACCTCTTCCTGTGTCCCTCATATTCATGCTCCCTGGGCCCACAGGGAGTCGCAGCCATCCCTTCCCTCCCCTTCCAGGTCCTGAGGATGTCTGTGAGGCCTATAGGCATGTGCTGGGCCAAGACAAGGTGTCCTATGAGGTACCCCGCTTCCATGGGGATGAGGAGCGCTTCTTCGTGGAAGGCCTGTCCTTCCCCGATGCCGGCTTCACAGGACTCATCTCCTTCCATGTCACTCTGCTGGACGACTCCAACGAGGTAGGGACAGAGGCGGTTCAAGAGGGGGTCCACTCAGGACCAGCGTGGGCAACATGGTGAAACCCCATCTCTACAAAAAAAAAAAAAAAATTAGTGAGGCATAGTGGTGTGCACCTATAGTCCCAGCTACTTGGGAGGCCGAGGTGGGAGGATCACCTGAACCCGGGGGGTTGAGGTTGCAGTGAGCCATGATCATCCCACTGCACTCTACAGCCTGGGCAACAAAGTAAGACTCTGTCTCCAAAAAGTAGTAATAATAAAGGGCGGTAGGGAGGGCTCCATTCCTAGTAAGTCTACCAGGCATCACTGGTGTGAAAGACCCCGGACTTCTTAGCGCCCCCTCTGGTTCATTTCCGTCTTGCAGAGAAGCAAGGGGCTTTCTTACAGACCACAGTGGTGGACTCAGAGTCCCGCCAGGCCTCTGGACTCCAAGTCCAGCTCTTTCTCCCCTGGTCTGCCCCTGCAGGATTTCTCGGCATCCCCTATCTTCACTGACACTGTGGTGTTCCGAGTGGCACCCTGGATCATGACACCCAGCACTCTGCCGCCCCTAGAGGTGTACGTGTGCCGGTGAGTCTTGGGGCAGTGGGTGGCTCCTCTGGCCCCCAGGCCCTGGCTCCATCCTGAGCCCCTCCTCCCTGGGCTTCTCCATAGTGTGAGGAACAACACGTGTTTTGTGGATGCGGTGGCAGAGCTGGCCAGGAAGGCCGGCTGCAAGCTGACCATCTGCCCACAGGCCGAGAACCGCAACGACCGCTGGATCCAGGTAACCACACCTGCTGGGCAGGGCCCGGCCAGGACACCATCCTAGAGGGAAGGGCCTTCCTCTGGAGGCCACCGAGAAACGCCCAGGAGGACCTGGGTGCTCCCCAGGGAACTTGCTGCCCTTTCTAATGTGAGACCTAGAGGCCTCTCTCCAGAACTTTCTGGAGACCCAGACACACGCTGATGCTGGATTCAACACTCATTCACCCACCAGATCTGGGCTAGGCACTGGGCTAGGCCCATAGGGGTGGCACAGGTGTGAGACACACACTCCCTGCCCTCAACAGCTGAGGCCAGTGGTTCTCATCAAGAGGCGATTTGTCCCCAGGAGACGTTTGGCAGTACCTGCAGACAGCGCGCAGGACAAGCCCCCACAATAACATAATCCAGTCCCACGCATCAGTAGTGTCGAAGCTGAGAAACCCTGGTGTGCAGAATGATGGCTACAAAAATACCTACTCCTACCATCTAGGGTGTAGCTCGGGCAACATGGTGAAACCGTCTCTACAAAAAAGTTAAAAAATTAGCACGGCATGGTGGCGTGTGTCTGTAGTCCCAGCTACTCTGGAGGCTGAGGTCAGAGGATCACTTGAGTTTAGGAAGGTCAAGGCTGCAGTGAGCTGTGGTTGTGCCACTGCACTCCAGCCTCGGCAATAGAATGAGACCTTGTCTCAAAAAAGAAAAGAAAAGAAAGGAAAAGGAAAGGAACGGAACGGAAAGGAATGGAAAAGAAAGAAAGAGGGAAGGGAGGGAGGGAGGGAGGAAGGAAGGAAGGAAGGAAGGAAAGAAGGAAAGAAGGAAGGAAGGGAGGAAGAAAAACAAAAAAAAAAGAACTAGGGTGCAGAGGCTGTACCAGCAAGGCACCAGCAGGGTTTGGGGGATGCAGCATCACCTCTGCCCAGGGAATCAGTGAAGACCTCCGGGAAGGAGAGCATCTGAGCTGGAGCAGACTTGGCAGATGGGTGCACATGACTTCTGCCATTTACACAGCATTTTCTGCAGGCCGGGCATAGCATCATTTCTCGATAACCTCCTGTAAGTCCACCATAATTCAGGAGCTCTTAGGGGAGCATGACTGGGCCACAGAGCTGGTACAGGCAGTGCTGGGACTCACGCTGCCAAGTACCAGGCTGTACAGGGTGGTAATCCTGGCAGAGACCAAGCATGCGCAAAGGCCCAGGGTGGGAGGCAGGAGAGAGAACGTTGTGTGTTCCCCTCTGTCAGGGCACTGGTTCTGAGAAAGGCAAGGGTTGAGGTGGGAGATCTTGAACGCCAAGTTAAGGAGCTTTCCTCTTGGCTGGAGGTCAGTCCAGTGAGAGGGTTTGGGGCAGGACTCTGGGGCAAGATGGGCTGGGATTTAGTGTTTAGAGCCTGGCTGTGCCACCAACTGACTTGCTGTGAGCTTTGGGACAAATATTTTTTAATTTTTATTTTTTTAATTAATATATTTTGAATTTATTTTTCTTTTTGGAGACAGTGTCTCTCTGTCACCCTGGCTGGAGTGCCATGGCATGATCACAGCTCACTGGTAGCCTCGAAGTCCCGGGTTCAAGTGATCCTCCTGCCTCAGTCTCCTGAGTAGCTGAGACTACAGGTGCAGCCATCAGGCTCAGCTAATGTTTTGTAGGGATGGGGTCTTGCCATGTTGCCCAGGGTTGTCTCAAACTCCGGGCCTCAAGCAATCCTCCGCCTCATCCTCCCAAAGTGCTGGGATTATAGGTGTGAGCCACCACACCCGGACTGGACAAATAATTAGACCTCTTAGTTCCTCATTTTCCTCATCTGTCACATGGGGTGATTATGGCACCCACGTCAAGCGTGTCATGAGGATGAATGGAGTTAATGTTTATAAAGAGTTTAGGGCAGGACCTGGATGTGTAGTTCATTCACACTGGACCATCTTTTCCTTCAGAATCTGAGGGGTCAGGACTGACCTGGGCACACTTATGGGTCTGAGAAGGAGGCATATTTGTATCCCCACAGGGCCCCTCAGCCCTGTCCAACTCAGGCCACCGTGGGGTCTTCTCTGTGTTCACCTGCCCTGGCCCAGCACTCATGGGGACACCCCCAAGGTCATATCCATGTTCTCATTCACCTCCGGCCTGTCTTGCTGTGTGACCTTAGACAAGTGCACCCCCTCTTTGAGCCTCCAGCCCCTCCTCCAGTCAGCAGGCACCCTGACCTTGGTCCTCTCCACATCCAAGCGCAAAACATGCTTGGGACAGGGGTCTTGGTGAACAGTCTGCACACAGGGCTCAGAGCCGAGCCAGCAGGGGCAACTGTTGACTGTCATAGCTGTGTGTCTCTCGCCTCTCCTCACTTGCAGGATGAGATGGAGCTGGGCTATGTTCAGGCGCCACACAAGACCCTCCCAGTGGTCTTTGACTCCCCAAGGAATGGGGAACTGCAGGATTTCCCTTACAAAAGAATCCTGGTGAGTGGTCCCCGGCTGCAGCCCACCCCTGAGAGCTGAGAGGCCTTACCCCAAGGGCCACACCGGGGTGTGGGGTACAGAGGGCAGCAGTGGGAACTGTGCTCTTTCGGGATGAGGGTAGGGTTGCCAGATAAAATGCAGGAGATGCCCAGTCAAATGTGAATTTCAGACAAGCAACAGGTTAACTTTTTGGTGTAAGTATGTCCCAAATATTGCATGGGATATACTTACACTAAAAAAAGTTGTTGTTTATCTAAAATTCAAAGTTAATTCGACATCCTGTATTTTTATTTACTAAATCTGGTAGCACTAAATAGGGGAAGCAGGATGGTGCACCTGTTCAGAACACAAGCTTTAGAGTCAGAACAACCCTGCTCCATTACTTACATGCTGTGTGATGTTGCGTGAGTTACTACCACACTCTGAGCCTTATTTTCCTCATCAGTAACAATGATATTTAGGCCCTGGCCTCACAGGTGTTTGTGAAGCGTCTCATTGTCACAGTAGCTGCATGGAGGGAGTGTGTGTGCGCGCGCACCACCGTTAGCTGCTATCATTATTGTAATTAAAAAGGATAACAGGGAAGGCGATGGTTGCTAACTGGGACCTCCTGAGAAAAGAGGAGTGACTTGCTTGGTGCCATAAAGAACAGAAGACCCCTCCAACCCCCTCACTGATTACACAGATGCTAGGAGCTCTCTCTCCTGACCCTTGATGTTGTCGAAGTTCCTTCTGAGAGATGGCCCTGGAGAGGTCTCCCCTTCTGTAGAGTTCAAAGACAGAGGCCCAGAGGGCCATCAACAGCCTCTTGGTTCCCACAACTTGCCACTTGGGCTGCCACTTGCCCTTGGTCTGAACTTGGCAGGAAGGCTGTGTAGGTAAGGGGGTGGAGTGGCCATAGCCTCAGGCTGTATGTCCGATGCGGAGTGGTGGAGTGACCAGAGCGCCCCCTGCTGTCTTGCCATGATAAGGCAGCAAGGCCAGAGAGTCCGAGCACTTCCCAACTTGGCCTGCTATGCGTGCATGAAATTTTGACTGGCTCAGATCCCCCACCCACCGCCAATGACTCTGTATTTCCATCTGAAGAGTGGATGGCCTTTCCCACCCTGTCTTGAAGGAGCTCAGAGCCCAGCAAGTTGGTTCAGGCTCTTCCTGGTACCCTCCACCCCCGCCTAACTTGGTTTCCCTCTCCAGGGTCCAGATTTTGGTTACGTGACTCGGGAACCACGCGACAGGTCTGTGAGTGGCCTGGACTCCTTTGGGAACCTGGAGGTCAGCCCCCCAGTGGTGGCCAATGGGAAGGAGTACCCCCTGGGGAGGATCCTCATTGGGGGCAACCTGCCTGGGTGAGAGAGTGACAGGGAGCGGAGTTCCTGGGGTGGAGGCTGAGGGTTGGGGGTGGTGGTAATGTTGGAGCAGGGGCCATTCCACTCCTTGAAGAGAACCAGAAGCAAGGAGTGGTGAAATTATACTCCCGGATGTAGTGGGCATGGTGGGTGTTCACCAGACACGGTACACACTTACCTCGGGGACTTTGAAACCAGAGAGAGCAAAGACCTAAGAGATCATTCGGTCCAACACTTTTATTTTACATGTGGGCCCAGAGAGGGTAAGTGAGTCACATAGAAAGCAAAGTTATAACTTGACTCAGGTTTTCTGATTCTGAAAATAGATGATACTAGTAACAGTCAATTAATAGTAACAGAAGAAGACCGGGCATGGTGGCTCACGCCTGTAATCCCAGCACTTTGGGAGGCCGAGGTGGGCGGATCACGAGGTCAGGAGATCGAGACCATCCTGGCTAACACAGTGAAACCCCGTCTCTACTAAAAATACAAAAAAAAAAAATTAGTTGAGCGTGGTGGCGTGCACCTGTAGTCCCAGCTACTTGGGAGGCTGAGGCAGGAGAATGGTGTGAACCTGGGAGGTGGAGCTTGCAATAAGCCGAGATCACACCACTGCACTCCAGCCTGGGTAACAGAACAAGACTGTCTCAAAAAGAAAAAAAGTAACAAAAGAAAAAGTTTCCATTCCCAACAGTCCTGGGAGAAAATGCCTTCAGGTCAAAGCTTGTTCATACTACCATGTAAATGGTAATATCATTTTTACCAAATGATACATTTGGTTAAAAATATCATTTTTACCAAAACAAATGATGTATTGTTCAGTAGTGACACAGGGGTGCTGATGGAAAAGGAATCCTATCATATTGATTACTTGCTGTGGACTAGACCAAGACATTGAGCTAACCAAATGCAACAAAGCTGTTAGAACAGACTTGGGATCAAATAATGAATGAATCCAGAGTCAAGCTTTGCAGGGGACTCACTGCCCTCAAATACATAATCCCATTGAAAGAGAAAGCTGGACCATGCCCTTAGATACATTTTCCTAAAGATTGAACATGGGGGTGAAATCTGTCTCTTGGAGAATGAGGACTTGGTGTGAGGGTGGTTCTGAAGATTTTCCTGGATGGTGGGACCTGGTGGGTCATTGCCCTGGTATGACCGACCTGTCCTGAGTCTGCCTCACGCAGAACTCACCCTGAGTGGAATTTTAAAATATACATATCTGACTGGGCACAGTGGCTCATGCCTGTAATCCCAGCACTTTGGGAGGCCGAGGCGAGCAGATCACTTGAGGTCAGGAGTTGAAGACCAGCCGGCCAACATGGTAAAACCCTATCTCTAGTAAAAATACAGAAAAATTAGCCTGGCCTGGTGGTGCACTCCTGTAATCCCAGTTGCGTGGGAGGCTGAGGAGGAGAACCCCTTGAACCTGGGAGGCGGAAGTTGCAGTGAGGCAAGATGGTGCCACTGCACTCCAGCCTAGGTGACAGAGTGAGTTTCCATCTCAAAAATAAATAAATATATATATATAAAATAAAATATACATATTTATTATCTTTCCTGTTTATAAAAGTAATGCATATTTTTTGTTTTTTAAAAAATCAGATATTGCAGGAATGCTAAATTCTTGTCATTTTATTTTTGCATGGAGTCTTTTTAGTTAAGCGACTTTTTTTTAACCTCGTGGGTCCCAGGTCAAGTGGCCGCAGGGTCACCCAGGTGGTGCGGGACTTCCTTCATGCCCAGAAGGTGCAGCCCCCCGTGGAGCTCTTTGTGGACTGGTTGGCCGTGGGCCACGTGGATGAGTTTCTGAGCTTCGTCCCTGCCCCCGATGGGAAGGTAAGAACATGGTGCATGACATGTCTTTCCCTGGCATCTGGGGCAAGAACTGAGCTCCGGGGCGCCACACCAAGGCAGGAAGCTCAGCCGAATCTGTTCTCTGCACACAGGGCTTCCGGATGCTCCTGGCCAGCCCCGGGGCCTGCTTCAAGCTCTTCCAGGAAAAGCGGAAGTGTGGCCACGGGAGGGCCCTCCTGTTCCAGGGGGTTGTTGGTGGGTAACAGCGCCATGTCCCTCCTTGCAGCTTCCCTGCCCCTCACCCAAATTAAGACACATTATGGCTTGAGAGGGGGAGGGCAAGTTTTAAAGCAGGGGTGTGTCCCCAAATTCAGAGCTTCTCACTCCTACCCCCGCACCTTTGCTTCACCAGATACCACTGCCCACGACTGGGGCCAAGCTGAGGCGGGGAGCGGGGTGATGGAAGGTGGGCATGGACTGAGCGGGGACATAGTGGCTTCCCAGGCAGGTGACCAATGCAGTCACGCTGTGGAGCTTTAATGTTCTGCAGTCACTGTCCTGAAATCCCCCTTTTTTTCTTTTTTTTTTTCGTTTCAGGAGGAAGTTTCCGCTCTGTTGGCCCCAAGGCCTGAACAATGGGTGATCTCCACTCACCGCAACCCCCGCCTCCTGGTTCAAGCTGAATGCTCCTCCCCTCACCTCCTGCAAGTAGCCTGGAATTACGAGGCATCGCGCCACCACGCCCGGCTAATTTTGTGTTTTAGTAGGAAACGGGGTTTCTTCATTTGGCCCAGCTGGTCCGAACTCCCGACCCAAGTATGGCCCAGTCAGCCCTCCCAAGTGCTGGATTACAGGTGTGACGCCACCGCCACAACCTGGCCTGTCCTGAAATCTTTTAATTCTTTGATGAGGTCCTGAATGGAATCAATGGAGCCGTCATGGCGCTTTGGAGCCCTCCTGCGCAGGCACAGTCCCTGTTCCCAGCCTCCCTGCCCCTCCTGGGCACGATTATGTCTGCTACTGTGCTCCTGAGCCCCAGTCCAGCCCTCCCCACCTCTCTGCCCACTGTCCCCTGAGATCTGCCAGCACTCGTGCCCACACCAGAAACCCTGGGCAATCGGGGCACATGTGGCTGCTCCAGCCATCTTTCATGCATCCAGTCGTCCCTGCCCTGCAAAGGGCATTTGGTGGGCAACTGGAAAGGGGTAATGTCTCACCCAGCCTTGCTCCAGGCTACCCCAGCACCATACCAGAGCCACAATACCTGGGGTCCCCTTGCTCCTTGGCGTGGGGGTGGCGGGCCTATGGAAGAAAGACATGCCAGGCTGGACTGCTCCTTCAGGGCACAGCATGTGGTCCACAGCAGAGCAATGCCAGGCACAGCCCACGGGGAGCTAGGCTGCCACATGAGGCACAGGCCAGGCCCTGACACCAGCAAGGGTCCTGCCCAGCCACCATGAGTGCCCGGCAAAAAGTGCAATGTGAAATTAGCAAATAAAAACCATCCCCTGAAAAAGTCAGCGAGAGAGATCGGGGAGAAAGAAACAGCTTTATACCTCAATATCACTTTTAATGGTACTCCTTTTCCTCTGCTGTTTTAAGCAAGGAGCTGGCATTTCTTTCTTTTTGAGACAGGTTTATCACCAGGGCTGGAGTGCAGTTTGACATGATCCTCAGCTCACTGCAGCACTCACACCCCAGACTTAAGCGACTCCCACCCCGCAGTCTCACGAGTACCTGGGACCAACAGGCCCATGCCACCAACACGCCGTGGCTTTTTGTTTCTTTTGGACTACAGATGGAATCTCACCACATGTTGCCCAGGCTGGTTCTGACCCTGAAGCCTCAGTGATCTGTCTGCTCTTAGACTCCCAACGTGCCAGGATACAAGGCTGTGAACCATGTGTGTCTGGCGAGGCCCCACTTATTTTTTTTTTTTTGCACCGGAGAAATTGCAGCAGAGAGAGGAGCCGGCGTGGGACTGGAGTCATCCATCATCTGGCAAACTTGCTGGAACGGTTCTCAAATTCATTTCCTTTCCAGCCCCAGTGAGACTGCATGAATCCCAGAGGATCCTCCCTTTCTCGGTGACCCCAGAGGCCACAGGTCAAAGACCCTTTGGCATGCAGAATCGTAGGTTTTCTTGGCCCCATGGCCTCAGGGGAGGCATATAGCATCCTAGACCAAACACAGCTCAGAGAGAAAAAAAGCTCCTTTAGAACTTAGATGCTCCCAGGTATAATAACTTCCAAAGTCCCCTTGCTCTCTGTTTGCTAGCGTTAACTTCTTCCAACACAACCCTGGAGACCTAGCAATAAAATGGAAGAGAAATAGTCTTTCTTGATCCTGTTGCTCCCAAAGGGACCCTGACTAGACTCTGGTGAACCTAGAGTAAGTCTTAGAAATCCTTAAATCCAAATGATGTACCAGGCAGGGAGAAATGCCACCTTCATCTTTCCTGGGAGAACCATGTTCATGGTGAGCAAGACCCAGGAATGGGTTGAGCAAAGTTACTCCAACCTGCCCAGCTGGGAGGGAGCGTGGGAGAATTCACAGATGGCAGGCCACAAGCAGCCACCCCACCCTCGAGGGCTGACACTCAGGCAGTGACTGTGGCGATTAACTATACAGACACAGGGGCCAGAGCGCTTATTAGGCACCTCAGTGTGCCAGGCCTCACGCTGTGTGCATCACACGTGTTATCTCATTTGATCTCACGAGAGCCTGTGGGATGACCATCACCCACCTTTATACCCAAGAATGTGAGGCTCAGAGAGGGGACGTCACTGGCCCAGAGGCCTCAGCAAGATTGCAGTGGAGCTGGGACTGGACCCCAGCTGCCTGCCTTAAACTGGGGTGAAGCGGGTGTTGGGCCTGCAGATGGGTCCGGGCAGCCCTCTCCTTTCCCTTGGTCAAGGCTTGAGGCCCTGTGCGAACTCTGGGCTTGGGTTTGAATCACAAGCCCCTACATAGCCTACCTGTGTGACCCTGGCCAAGTCTTTTGACCTCTCTGAGCCTCAGTTTTCTCATCTGTAAAGTGGAGATCATAATGCATACCTTGTGGGGGTCACCATGAGGGTTAAGTGAGATGCTGAACATGGGCACTGCCCTCGGGGCCTGCTCATGGTAAGTGCTTACTGAGTGGCAGCCATAGGATTGTGTGCCATTGACTCTAGCCTCCCCTTCCCTGTCCAGTCTCATCTCCATGGGCACCCCATCAGGCTGAGAAAATCTGGGCCCCTGGGAGGTCCCCATTTCATGCAGTCACTCCTGGAGGGCAGGGTTGGGGCCTGATGGTGTCCGAATCCCAGGACTGGCTGGTTCGCTGCTCAGTGAACCTAGAAAACCTGACTCTGATGGTGGGTGGGTAGGCAGCAACTGACCCAGCTCCCGGCTCAGCCAAAGCAAGAGGAGTCCTCATGCAGTGCCCTCGGGCGGTTGTAAATTTCCAGTGAAAGGCGTTACCACTTCTGGTGAACTCAAATAAAGGTCTAAAGTTCATCCCGCTATGGGAACCAGACCCTCCCACTCCTTACACACCCAGATGTGCACAATGGCCAAGACAAGCTCAGATAGGTGGTGCCCACCCAAGGCCCGGGAAAGTCAGAGGCTGCTGACTCGGCAAGACCAGTAGCTGTGAACTTGGCTCCTGCCTGTCTGCTTCCCTAAACACGGGGTCCTCATGTTGGTGCTGTCCCTGTCCTTCCCTTTCATCTCTCTCCTTCACAGATGATGAGCGGGTCAAGACCATCTCCATCAACCAGGTGCTCTCCAATAAAGACCTCATCAACTACAATAAGTTTGTTCAGGTACAAGGGCTGTGGTGTACCTGTGGGCTGTGATTTGGGAGCAGGTGGGCCTGGAGGCAAGGATGGGATACGGACATCTAAGGCTCACCGTTCATGAAAGCTCAGGTTAGAACAGGCCCAGACAAAGGGGGCCCCACACCCTCCTTTGACCCAGGAGAAGTGAGGGGAGCGAGGCATGTGTATGAGAAGAAGACAGGCATTCCAGGCAGAGGGAACAGCACAGGCAATGGCCCTGAGGTGGAACGAACAGGCCTGGAGTATTTTAGGACAAGCCAGGAGGCTGATGGGGAGCCAGAAGAGGCCAGGTCACATCACGTGAGGCCTCGTAGGCATCGCTGGAACTTTGGCTGTGACTCTGAGTGAGATTTGAGGCCATTAGGGGATATGAGCAGAGAGACCAGTCTGACTTATGCTTTAAAAGATCTCTCGGCTGGGCGCAGTGGCTCTTGCCTGTAATTTCAGCACTTTGGGAGGCCGAGGCAGGCAGATCACAAGGTCAGGAGTTTCAGACCAGCCAGTTTGAGAGGAGCCTGGCCAACATGGCGAAACCCCTTCTTTACTAAAACTACAAAAATTAGCCGAGTATGGTGGCATGTGCTTGTAATCCTAGCTGCTCAGGAGGTTAAGGCAGGAGAATTAGTTGAACCTGGGAGGCAGAGGCTGCAGTGAGCCAAGATTGCACCACTGCACTCCAGCCTGGGCGACAAAGCAAGACTCTATCTCGGAAAAAAAAAATTTCTCTGTTGCTGTGTTGAAAACATATATTCTGTGGAGGTAAGAGGTGACAGTAGATTCCAACGGGAAATACATGGCACCCGGAGCTGTATAACTGCAGAAGAGGTTGATAAAGGACATATTTACAAAGGTACAGGCAGGCTCAAGGAAACTAGCAAAGGACTGTTCAGTATCCCAGGCTAGGACGAGCGGGAAGTGTTACCACCCCTACACCTGAAGGAATGAGGGAAGGGAACTGTTCCTGGAACCTGGAGAGGCCACCAGGATAAGAGGCTGCGAGACAGGAGATGTGACAGCCAACCCACAGTGAACTGGAGGGAGGGAGCTGCAGGGACAAATACCTCAGCTGTATTCTCCTCCTTCTTTGCTCCCGTTGGCTCAGCCCAATCAGGAGCCAGAGGGCACTGGAGTCCTTGATTCCTAGGGATCAGCCTCCCCGTGCACAGGGCAGAGATGGGTGTACAGTGTTCCTGAAGGGCAAACAGAATTTCCCACATAGGGACTGCATGAGTCAAAATCCTCCAAGAATGTCAAGATGGGGTTAAACATGTCAGGGTTTTATTAGTGAAAATGCCTGTGTGAGGAAATAGACTGGGAGCCAGAGAAGACTGGGAGACCCCGAGTGAAAGAGAGAAGGAAGGTGGGGTGCACGCACCCTGTACTGCATACAGCCTGGGGAACCTTCAGGAAAGCCGTGGGGGATCCCACCAGCCACAGTCGGCCACTAGAGAAGTCCCTCGTCTCTCAGAAATGGGTCCGCCTGAGTGCACTATCACTCTCAGCCATTAGCTAGGAGCAGTCAGTGAGGTGTGACCTTAAACCCAGGAAGGGCTTCAGAGCTGGGCAGCAAGCACCCTTGGTCAGTTACACTCCCAAGTTGGAGGTGTGCAAGAGGAGTTATCATGGCTGCCACATGGGGCAAGGGCAGAGACCCCATAGGAAGCCATCGCGGTCCACCAGGCTGGAGTGGGTGGCCTTCAGACTAGGTGGGAAGGAAGCAGATTGGGAACAGATGGCAAAGGTAGCATCCACAGGACTTGCTGATGAATTGGATTTGGAGGAAGGGACAGGAGACATCAAGAATAACAGCAAGACTTGTGGCCCTAACAGCTGGGTGAACAGCAGTGACATGTACTAAGCTGAAGAACCCTGGGGGAAGAAGCGGGGTAGTGGGGTAGAAATTAAGCGTTTCTCTTTGGATGCATCATGTTTGATGAGCCTGTTAGACACCCACGTGAAGATGCTAAGTAAGCAGCCACACTCACATGTCTGAGCTTAGGAAACAGATGGGCTTTATAAAGAGGTTGGGATTAGCCAGGCATGGTGCTGGGTGCCTGTAATCCCAGCTACTCAGGAGGCTGAGGCAGGAGAATCACTTGAGCCCAGGAGGCAGAGGTTGCAGTGAGCCAAGATTGTGCCAGTGCACTACGGCCTGGGTGACAGAGGGAGACCCTGTCTCAAAAAACAAACAAACAAACAAAGAGGTGGGGAGATGCACATTTGAGAGTTGTCACTGTATAGAGGTGTTTTAAACCATGAGACAGGCCGGGGGCTGTGGCACATGCCTCTAATCCTAGCACTTTAGGAGGCTGAGACGGGCAGATCACCTGAGGCCAGGAGTTTGAGACCAACCTGGCCAATGTGGTGAAAGCCTGTCTCTACTAAAAAATACAAAAATTAGCTGGGTGTGTTATGGTGGGCACCTGTAATCCCAGCTACTTGGGAGTCTGAGGCAGGAGAATCGCTTGAACCCAAGAGGCGGAGGTTGCAGTGAGCCGAGATCACACCACTGCACTCCAGCCTGGGAGACAGAGCAAGACTCCATCTCAAAACAAACAAACAATAACAACAACAAAAAACCATGAGACAGAGTGAGATCCTCTAAGGCATGAGGGATTTGAAGAAGAGGGTCAAGGACGGAGCACTCTGAAACACTCATTTTTAACCTTATGGGGTAGAACTGTGAGGGGTGGACACGGGATAGGCATATTTTGACAAAGGGGCACGCAGATAAGGTCTGTGTGGACAATTGACCTATGGGCACTTGGGTATCCTGCCTCTCCTCAACTAGACATGATGCCTTGAGTGCCCCCAAAACACACTGGCAAGGTGTCCCCAACTCTAGCCCTCCCCTGCCCCCAGAGCTGCATCGACTGGAACCGTGAGGTGCTGAAGCGGGAGCTGGGCCTGGCCGAGTGTGACATCATCGACATCCCGCAGCTCTTCAAGACCGAGAGGAAAAAAGCAATGGCCTTCTTCCCTGACTTGGTGAGGCCACCACCCATGACTCCAGACTACGCCAAATCAGGCTGCAAGCCTCTAAGCCCTAGAGGGGAAAAATGTTTGGTCACAGTGGTATTTAGGATTGTGGTGGCCAGTGGGGGTGGCAGGGAGAATCAGGGGTCCTATGGTGCTCCTCAGAAGGGCTTCTAGCTGGCTGACCACCATGGTCCCTGTGGAATGCTTGCTGGCCAAGCCCTGGCCCAAGGGGCGTCAGGGAAGGGGACCACTTGACATTTGTGGAGTGAATGAATGATTGCATGAGGTCACGTGTGCAAAGCACATGGCATCAGCTGGGAACCCAGATGCTCATTCTGCTTTCTTCGTCCCAGCTTGCGGCTCTTCATCCATCCCACATGTATTTAGGGTTTCCTGTGGCAGATGCAGAGATGATTAAGAATGCCCGCTGCTCTCAAGGGACTTTCAGTCTAATCTGTTGAGAGGGAAATTCTCCCCCTCTCTGAGGACATGTCCCAATGATCTATTTTGTAGGATAAGGCGACGTGGCAGTTTGGAGGTGAAACAAAGCACTTCCAGCCTAAGAGGTAGAACTGGAGATCCAAGAGGCTTCATGGAAGAAGTGGCCTTTGACTGAGCCTTGAGGGCTTTGCCTCTGATGCTTCGCCTCTAATGCTTCTAAATCTTTTTGTTTGTTTGTTTTTTGTTTTTTGAGCTGGAGTCTCGCTCTGTCGCCCAGGCTGGAGTGCAATGGCACGATCTTGCTCACTGCAGCCTCCGCCTCCAGGGTTCAAGCAATTCTCCTACCTCAGCCTCCTGAGTAGCTGGGATTACAGGCGTGCACCACCACACCTGGCTAATTTCTGTATTTTTATTAGAGACGGGGTTTCACCATGTTGGCCAGGCTGGTCTTGAACTCCTGACCTCCAATGACCCACTCGCCTCAGCCTCCCAAAGTGCTGGGATTACAGGCGGGAGCCACTGTGCCTGGCCTGCTTCTGAATCTTGAGCTTGCATTTGAAACACCGGGACAGGTGGGGCCCCACCCCGCGGTCCTGATTCAGCAGGTCTAAGGCAGGGCCCAAGGCACTGCTGCCTCGCTAACAAGCGCCCAGGTGGTGCTGATGCTGCGTTTTAGAGGAACACAGTTTGAGCAGCACTGCTATAGGCCACCCAGCTCCCCTCTCCACGCCTCCCCACCTCCATCCCCTAGAAGAACTCAATTTGCCATTGTCAGAGCCTTGAGGGGAACCTGTCCACACCACTATTGCTTCATGCCCCCCTTTTTCCTTCCTCTTTTCAGGCAACTTTTTGCCCTCCACTTGCAAAGCCTCTTGCCACTCCCCTTCCTTCCTGTTCGAGGCTATCTTGTAATTATATATGTGCCCCAAGAAGCTTGTGCAATGATTCAGGTTCTTGTGTTCACAAAAGAGAGAGTCCTACTCAAGCCAGCTTCAGCCAGAGGGAGTCTTAATATAAGGACACCAGAAACCTGAGGGCAGGATAGCTGCAGCAGAGCCTGGAATCCTCTCTGTTTCTGTGTCTACATCATTCATTCTCTCTCTTTCTCTCACCCTCTCCATCTCCTACTTCCTCTCCCTCTTCCTCCAGCTTGGCTTCCTTTGCTTCTCTGTTCCTGGGGACAAAGATGAGTATGGCCATGCACAGAGACACTGACAGGGGCAGAGACCGACTAAACTCTCCCATTGTCAGTTTCAAATTCCTGGGAGAGGGACTCTGATTGGTCCATCTTGGACCAGCTGTCCTCCCTGGCCCAATCAGCTATGGCCTAGAAGGTTGGGATTCTGTAGCACAAACATGGCAGCTGCCACAATCCACAATTCCAAATTCACATTAGGGCAGTTTCCAGAGGACGTTGCCAGAGTGAGCTCTGTAGATGCTCCCAAAGGTACCTGGCTAAAGTGTTCTTCCCAGCCCCTTTAGCCAGTTACCCTCTCATTGCACAGGAAAGGGTGAGCAGCTATTGATAAGACTGCCTAAAACACAAACCTAGGTCCTGCAGATAGAGTAGAGGTGTGATGTGGGAGCCCAGTGATGAAGTTCTGCTTCCCCTTCGGACTGCAGGTGAATATGCTGGTGCTGGGGAAGCACCTGGGCATCCCCAAGCCCTTCGGGCCCATCATCGACGGCCGCTGCTGCCTGGAGGAGAAGGTGCGATCCCTGCTGGAGCCGCTAGGCCTCCACTGCACCTTCATTGATGACTTCACTCCATACCACATGCTGCATGGGGAGGTGCACTGTGGCACCAATGTGCGCAGAAAGCCCTTCTCCTTCAAGTGGTGGAACATGGTGCCCTGAGACAGCTCCCACCCACCATCCTGTCCCCCTGGGGCAGGCATTGGCCCAGGTGGTGGAGACAGAGACAGGCCCCTGAACGATAAGCACCAAGAGACCCCAAGGCTCCAGATGGAACACGGAGGGTGACCGTCCCTCTCAGAAGCCTTTTCCCTGGAAGTGTCCATGCCTCACCTACAACCCATGTGGTTCTCAGACTTGAATCTTCTTGGCCCCACAAAAAGAAGGACCTCATTTCTTACACCCTCTCCTGTGATTCAACACAACCCATGGAGATGTCCCCTCTTCACTCTGAAATCATCCATTTGGGGACAAATCCACATTGGGGTCTAGAAACATCCATGTATCTCATCAGCCATCTTGTCCTGTTTATCCTAACAGAGGAAGGATCCATGATTCTGCTTTGGTCCAATTGCTTCCTCTCTGCAGAGGAACAACCCTAAAACCAGATCACTCCGCACAGGACAGGCAGGGGAGATTCTTCCTAAAGCTTCCCCCATAAAAAGGGAGCTGTGGATCCACTGAGATCAGGGCGGGACCATCTTTCACCCTGCCAAGTTCCTGCCCAGATGTTGACCCTTACCCAGCATGAGCTGTCACATGGTATGAGCTTCTAGATGCGTGTGGAAGCAATGAGAATTGTCCCTTAGCCTTATAAACTCCCCATCATCTGACATGCAGAAATCCAGCTTTGTCCAGAATCCTCCTGGAATTTCTTGGAGGTGAAATTATCTGGGGGATTGTTGGGTACTGGGAAGACTGGGTACAAGGGTGAAAAATGTCTCCCATAATACACATGATTGACTGTGGTGATCCACCTTGTGATGGTTAATATTAGGTGTCTGGAGAAGGATGCTTCATTGGCCCCAGGACCTCTCTCTGCAGGAGGAGAGACCCCTGCCTCTCCTCTGGATTGGTCCCAGGCTCTCTATTGGCCTTTGGTCAGCGTTTCCGCATAGCTGCAGAAGAGGGGGCTAAAGGGACTGGATCCACCAAGACAGTTCACGGCGGGAAAACTCTGGGAATGAACCACTGAATTCAGGGAATGGCGGTTGGGGGGGCGGTTCTCGAGATGTGTGCCAGCTACACGTGTATTCTGTATGGGTCCAGCTGCGTTTCCATCACTCGCTAATAAATCAACAGAAACACAAATGGCTTGGCTCTCATGTTGACCCTTCTTTGAGCTTAGAATGAGACAGCAAAGAAAGAGGACTTTCTTGCAGCTGAAGCATTTGCTTTCTTGACCCCCAAGAATTTGGGGCTGACAACCCAAATTTTGATAAGACTGAGATTGCCTTGCCTTGGCCAGAAGATAGGTTAGGGCTGCCATGGACAGTTGTGATGATATGGACACATAAAAGCAAGCCTGAGGGTAAAATGCTAGGCTACCAGGACAAGTGAGCATGGCCGGGCTGTGGCCGGAGGTTGCACTGTGGAAGGAGGGGCAGTGGGGAGCATGTGGAGGCCTTTTGCATGTCCTTAGCAGCATCCTCTTTCTGCCTGCAAGAGGCTGCAGGAAGCCTTACTTCAGCGCACTCGGGCACTGTCCCTCTGCCCTCCACCCTCCCAACCCCCTTATTCTCCCTCAAGGTGCAAAACACAGAAACACACTCAAGCTCACCCCAGGCTGGGTGGCTAGAGCTGTGCAGGTTTCTCCAGTGCTGCCTCCTTGCCATAGATTACTTAGGTTCTCTGAACAGATTCCCGGCGTCCCCTCACATGCCCAGATTTTGACAAAATAAGCTCCCTCCCCCATTTCCCCCAGCAGGGGAAGCTGAGACAGATGAAGAGGCTGAGAACATCTTATTTTCCGAAAGGGTTTGGGGAGGGAAATGTGACTCTCTAGAAGGCAAATGCCTAAAATTCGGAGAAGAGGGATGAGTTTCCAACAGGCTTTTCTCATCCCCAAGACTAGACACAAGACTCAGGGTGGACCCAGCATAAAGCCCTGGTAACTTCTTGCCTCTCAAAGTTGCTCCCTGTGCTCTAGGTTGCTGTGGGTGGGGCAACTGAGCAGTGAAAAACCTAACCCAAAGGCGGACGAGAAGCAAAACAGTTGAACACAGCAAAACAGTTGAACACAGCATCCACCTGTCCACACAGCAAAGGACAGGGTCAGTGCATTACTTTTCGAAGGCTGCTATAACAAATTACCATGAACGAAGTGGCTTAAAACAACACAAATGTATTATCTTATGGTTCTGGAGGTCAGAAGTCTGACATGGTGTCATGCTGGACCTCTACTGACTTCAGTAGAAGCTGGGCATGGTGGTACATGCCTGTAGTCCTAGCTATTCGGGAGGTTGAGGAAGGAAAATTGCTTGAGACTAGGAGTTTGAGGTTACAGTGAGCGAAAATCACACCACTGCACTCCAACCTGAGTGACAGAGTGAGACTCTATCTCAAAAAAAAAAAAGATAGGGATGGCACCATGTTTGAGACACCAAAGAAGACACCTGCAGCCAGTGACCGAGACAAGGTTTATTGAGGGGACTCATATACAGGGCAATCCGGTGGTGGTGGGCTGGACAGGAGAACCACCTCTGCTTGTAAAAAGCATGCAGTTGGCCAGGCACAGTGACTCGTGTCTATAATCCCAGCAGTTTGCCAAGGCAGGTGGAGCACGAGGTCAGGAGTTCGAGACCAGCCTGGCCAAGATGGTGAAACCCCGTCTCTACTAAAAATACAAAAATTAGCCAGGTGCAGTGGAGGGCACCTGTAATTCCAGCTACCCGGGAGGCTGAGGCAGGAGAATTGCTTGAACCCGGGAGGTGGATGTTGCAGTGAGCCGAGATGGTGTCACTGCACTCTAGCCTGGGCGACAGAGCAAGACTCCATCTCAAAAAAAAAAAAAAAAAAAAAAGGAAAGAAAAGCATGCAGTTTATATAGCATTTTCACTTAGCACTCTCACCCTAACAACCTCCTCCTGGCAATCTTCATTTCACCCATAACAAAGGGCCTCAATTCCCGTATAGCCTGCATTCTATGAGATAAGCGGTGGGTCCCAATGTTCCTCACAGAAAAGAAATGAATCTCTGGGTTGGGCACTTTCCATAGCTGGGAATCCCAAATGCACATTCGTCATAGACTGTAAGGTCATTCTCAGAGTATGCTTCAGTTAAGCTGTTGCTGGCAGTGCGTCTGCCATACACATGGCTCTCACTGAGCTAAAGTCAGCATCTCGGAAGCGGTGGTTCCTTCTGGGCTCTAGGGAAGAATCCTTTTTCTTGCCTTTTCCAGCTCCTAGAGGCTGCCTACACCCCTCAGTTGCTGGGCTTTTCCTCCATCTTCAAAGCCAGCAGCGTGGTAACATTTTTGTATCTTCCTCTGACGGATTCTTCTGCTTCTTTCTTCTACTTGTAAGGACGCTTGCGATGCCCGTGGGCTCATCTGGATAAGCAAGGCTCACCCACCATCTCTAGGTCAGCTGATGAGCAAACTTCATTCCATCTGCAACCTTCATTCCCTTTTACTAAGAAGGTCATATACTCACGAGTTCTGCAGATTCAAAAGTGGAAATCTTTGGAATTTTTCTGCTGGTTCGAAAGTGGAAAGTGGAATTTTTCTGCTGACTACAGGCAACCAGGCCCCGACTGCCCTTTCTGGCCTCCAAGAGTGAGACCATACCCGGTCCCCTCTGAAATCCACAGAGGCAGCAGCAGAAAGATGCAGTCAATGAGCCCTCACTCTGGGACTGGTGTTCAGTTCTGGACCCTCAGCTGGGCTGAGATCTGGGATCCCACAGATGCAGGCTGGGTGGCTCCAAAAAGCACTGGAAGCTGCCTCTACCAGGCCTGGGGTCAGGGGTCACCTCCACTGGCCACTGCCTTCCCAGACAGCTGCCTATGCCATACTTCCTGGTCCCTTCCGGGGCCTGGTTCTCAGGCCTGGAAATCCCAGGGAGACTGGGATGAGGCTGGGGTTCTTGTGGGGAAACTTCCCCTTCACCCTATTGTGGTTCCTCTAACACCGTGGGCAACCTTGACCAGGCCTGAGGATAAGGGAAGACACCCAGCTGGCTCACCTACTCCCAGCTGGCTGCCTGGAACCCCTCGGAGTTGGACCATTAGTTGCTGAACTTGTACTCTGTAGCTGAGCACTTAACCTGTGTGAGCCTCAGTCTCCCCCTCCATAAAATGGGCAAAATAACTGCCTGCCTCATAGAGCTTGCATGGGGATGAAGTAGGGTAACTCACAAGACACACTTAGTGTTAACAGCACAGTGCATGGTGCATAGTAAGTGCTCAGTAAATGATGACTGTTGTTACATAACATCCCCTGGCCCATCCTCAAGCATCTGCTGTGTAGAACACTCCTAATCCCCGCACTTTAATAGATGACAAAGACCCTCCGAGACCCAGAGGCGAGATGAGGGAGGTACGAAAGGGACAGCTGTCCTGGCTATTCTTAGATCATACCCTGCTTGTCTCAGCTGTGTGGGAATGGCCCAGGTGGAGGTTCCTGCCCAGACAAGAAGCCGACAAGCAAGCCCGTCTTTCTTATGGGGATTTGCAGCTCTGGGCGGCCCTGACTCATGCTGTCTTCAAATTTGGAATAAGTAGCTGCAGGGCTTCGGCAGGCATTGCCCAACCCTGTGGCCTCCTGCGGCTTCCAGCAGCCCAGGAAAGAGGGCCCTGGGTGAGGATGGCTGGACAGAAGAGTCCGTGGGACCTGTCACTTCCTACAAAGTCTCTGTCATCCCAAGTCCCCTCCAGCATAATGACGGTGAATGCAAGCATTGTGCCAGCAGGTACCGAATGCTCCCCAAGCACCATCTGATATATCCCTCACAGCATGCCAGCAGGCAGCTATTATTATTGCTCTCACTTTATAGACAGGGAAACTGAGGCTCAGCCACATAAAAGAGCTTGCTCTGGTCACAGAGCTATTAAGTGGGGGAGACAAATTTGAGCCTAGACATGTGACCTCTGTACCCTGGGTTCTTAACCAGTCACACCAGTGGTTCTCAACCCATCTACACATTAGAATCACTTGGAAGGCTATTAAAACCTAGCAGGGCCAGGCCCCCACCATCAGAAATTCTGTCCGGACATTGGGATGTTACACAAAGTAACTCAGTGACTCAGGTGTGTAGCCAGGACACGGCAACACTTTGGGAGGCCAGGAGGGCGGATCACCAGAGGTCAGGAGCTTGAGACCAGCCTGGCCAACATGCCAAAACCCCGTCTTTACTAAAAATACAAAAATCAGCCGCGCATGGTGGAAATTGCCTGTAGTCCCAGCTATGCGGGAGGCTGAGGCAGGAGAATCACTTGAACCCAGGAGGCGGAGGTTGCAGTGAGCAGAGATCATGCCATTGCACTCCAGCCTGGGTGACAAGAGTGAAACTGCCTCAAAAAAAAAAAAGAAAAAAGAAAAAGAAAAAGAAAAAAAAGAAGTGGCCAGGAAGGTCTTCAAGGGAGGTGGCATCTTAGGGTGGGCGTGAAGGATGGGAAGGAGCCAGGGAGGAGAGGGTAGCTCGTG